GAGCAAACGAACACAACAACTCCCAGTCGTAAAACAGAATCTGCTCGTAAACACACCAGCCGGCCGGCCGAGATAGAGTCGCTCCAATCTGAGGGATAAGATACGCTGGGGAAGCGGGGGGTGGGCGGGGGGGGGGACTTTGCTTCGAGGCGGTTGGCCTCGGGAGCCCTCGGGCGGGATGCCGAGGGGGTGGATCGTTCCCCGTGAATGCAGTCGCGGGCCGAGTCCGGTTGCAGAGTCAGTCGAGATGTGGCGAATGCACGCGTCCGCCATCCTGTGGGCCGCCGGGCTGGGCCTCCTCGGGGCCCCCGCCGGCCTGGGAGCCCCAGCCAAAGCGCCGAGGCAGAAGGTGCTGCTAGTCTCCTTCGATGGGTTCCGGTGGGACTACGACCGGCGCGCGGACACGCCGAACCTGGACCGCATGGCCCAGGACGGGGTCAAAGCGCTGTACGTCACCCCGCCTTACCTCACCATCACCAGTCCCACGCACTTCACCCTCCTGACAGGTAAGGGGTGCATATTCTGATGGTCGGCGGCAGGGGGGGGGTTTGAGTGTCATGGCATGAAACTGCTCTTGAGTTTACTTTGCTGGGATTGAAAGAAGGCTAAAAAGCCGCCGTGGTGAAAAAGGAATTAGTTGTAATTGAATGTCTCAGGGTCCAACGGCTTTTATAGCGGAGTAAGATAATTACGCTTGGATGAGTGAGGGAAGAAGACGCTGCTCCCGCTTCTTATTTTAACTCTCAAATCATCAGTGGCAGCTAAAAGGAATTTAACTTCCTTGAAATTAAATTCCTCTAATCTCCAAAGTTGGTCATGAGACCTTGTCCAAAGGCGTCACGCCACTCAGCCCGTTGAGTTGATAGAATTTGTTTAAATGTGGACGTTGTCACGCTGCGGATGACAGTTCCTCCTCCGCGCAGGCCGCTACATTGAGAACCACGGCGTGGTCCACAACATGTGGTTCAACACCAGCACCCTGGAGAAGACACCCTATTACCAGACCCAGTTTGTGAACGAGTGGTGGGACAACGGCAGCCTGCCGATCTGGATCACCGCGCAGAAACAGGTCTTCATGCTACTATTGCTGCTATTTCTCCCGACAAAACCACCATCGCAGGATGTGGCTGACATTATTCAGCTCGACGCAAATTGTCTTTTTGTTTTTTGCCGTTGTAACTGCATGCCGTTCTCGTTCGGTTTCACCCGCATGCCGAACCGATCGACCCCTCGTGCGTGCTGCGTGACGACGGTGTGTCTCTTCCCCCGCCCCCCTCCAGGGCCTGAAAGCCGGCTCTCTTCACTTTCCCGGCACGGCCTCCAGTTACCAGGGCCAGGTTGCCATGGTGCAGGAGGTGGAGCCGCCGCTCTACAACTACAACAACGAGACGGCGTGGCGGGAGAACACGGACAAGGTGATGGGCTGGTTCCGAGACCAGGACCTGGACTTTGTGTCCCTGTACTTCGGCGAGCCGGACGGCACCGGCCACAGGTTCGGCCCGGACTCCCCGCAGATCCGGGCCGTGGTGGAGCAGGTGGACCGGACGGTGGGCTACCTGCGGCACTCGGCCGACCGCCACGGGCTGACCGGGCGCCTCAACATCATCATCACGTCCGACCACGGCATGAGCACGGTGTACCGGAACGGCCTGGTGGAGGACATCACCCTGTCCCGGATACCGGGCTTCTCCTTCAGCGACCTGGCCTTCCACCTGGTGGACTACGGCCCCTCCGGGATGCTGCTGCCCAAGCCGGGCCTCCTGGAGAAGGTGTACGGCGCCCTGAAGGGGGCCCACCCGCACCTCCACGTCTTCAAGAAGGAGGAGTTGCCGGAGCGCCTCCACTTCGCCAACAACGACCGGATCCTCCCCATCGTGCTTTGGGCCGACGCCGGATACGTGATAAACGGGGTGAGGCTTTAGTTGTAGTAGTAGTACCAGTAGTAGTTGCAGTAGTACCAGTAGTAGTTGCAGTAGTACCAGTAATAGTAGTAGTAGTTGCAGTAGTAGTAGCAGTATTATTAGTACTAGGGCTCGTAGGAAGCCGGTTATGAAGGACGATTGACTCAAAGTTTACTTTGCCCATATATGTTCACACTTGGTCGACTTATCATTTTCTTTCTTTTCTTTATAATTATTATTTTCACTTCATGAAAACTATAAATTCCCGACAGCTGGCCACATAGACACAGCGTCACAGTGGTACAAATAGCATACTTGGCTACGCAGAGCTAACAATAGAGGACGGCCTTAATCCAGTCCCTTTGATCCCAGCCTGTGCTACAGAGCACTGCCTCCTGATTTAGAGTGGAATTTAAACCGTTGGGTTGAAGGAGGAATCCAGCAGTGACCGACAAGCTGGAGAGTTTGAAGCCACGAGCTTTATTCCCCCGTGCAGACCCCACCATCAGCTTCAAAGCATCAGTAAAATGAGGAAGCATTCAAAGGCAGTGAGTGGCATCCGGGGCCGTTTTTGGTTAGGAAACGGAAATATAACTACCGGGAAATAAGAATCGTTGTCCTTTATTCCGCCATCTTGCGACGGTAGCCTGGAATGGACAAACACCCACTGGCGTTTAGAGGGGGACGTACTTCTGATAGAGCTTCACTGCTACGTCCTCCACTTGGGACCTTTGCCCGCTGACATTGGGATTACGACCCAGCAAACTGATTAAAAGGAAATCAGATGACAAGCACTGATTCGCCGATATGGATAAACAGCCTTTACAAGCAGTCCAGTTTATTCTGGAAATGTCCCCGAGGCTCGACGGCAGAGAAGCTTAAACTGCAAGAAATGATGAAACCGGACTCTTTTCTGCCAGAAATAATGAGTTAAATTTGAATCTCAGTACATTAGAATTTCAATCAAGTGGATTTGCACGTCCTCGGGATAATCCCGGCCCGGCTGATGACATGCGCAGCTCTCCAATGTTCATTCATTCGTGCCTTGAAAAATCCTTAATTAGTGTTTTCACGTGCCTCCGCCGGGCCGGTACCTCTGCATCTGAACACCAGATCCCAGCTTCATTTATAGAATAAATAACTGAAATGCTAAACACCGAGGAACTAATCAGCCGCGTGAGTCCGCTGATAAAAACAGGTTATCTGAGGTTTATGGGATCACGACTGTGTTATCTGACGCGTTCTTCGCTCCCTTTACAGCCACTCAAACTCCTTTTAGTCGGATCTCAGAGCAGGATAAGCAAGCCGAGGCGTTACATAACCGCTACGACGAGGGTAGCCTGCACACGGATATTTTTAGCACTCCCTGCTGGCAATAAACCGAATATTTACCACAAAGTCATCAAAAGAACGTGTGCGTTCATGTGCTGTGAAGATGTTTATTTTGGAGCTGGGTTAACAATGTGGTGGATAGGAGCAACAAGGAGATTACACTCCTTCTCTTGGACGACACCTCCCTCTGCTGACAGAATGAGAGCAGGCCCGCGGGCTCGTGAACTTCACCACGCGACGGGACCTCGCAAAACCGGGTCACGCTCCACGTCTTCCCCTCTGTGTCTTCGCAGTACTTCCCCGTTCAGTTCAACAAGGGCGAGCACGGCTTCGACAACCAAGAGATGGACATGAAGCCCTTCTTCAGGGCGGTGGGCCCGGCGTTCCGCAGGAACCTGGAGGTGGGGCCCTTTGAGACGGTGAACATCTACCCCTTAATGTGTCACATCCTGGGCATCGAGCCGGAGGTCAACGACGGCCACCTGGACGCCACCAAGCACATGCTGGTCGCCAGCGCCACCTCTCAGGGTGAGTTTCCCCTGTGTTTCCTTCATCAACTGGACGGGCCTACGCAGCAATGAAGTGACTCAAATAATCTGCGTACCGACCACGAAGAGAAGGGAACAAGTAAAGAAACTACAAAGATACATTTGAGTTACTGTGTGGAAGTGTGGGGTAATACCTACAAAAGCACCCTACAGGCAATATGCACAATTAAAAAAAAAAGCAATACGGATAGTTAATAAGGTGGGGTACTATGAACACACAAACACATTATTTCTGAAATTAAATATATTAAAATTTATGGACTTGAAAGATTTTAAAATGTTACAGATTGTATTTAAAGCAAGAAACAGCCTACTCTCAGGAAACATTCAAAGTTGGTTTAGCGACAGACTAGGAGACTATAATTTAAGAGGGAGACTGAAACTGAGGCAACCAAAGGTGCACTCTACACTCAAAAGCAGGTGCATATCGGTCTGTGGGGTGAAGTTGTGGAACAACTTACCAGATAAGATCAAAGATTGTAAACATATTGCACAGTTCAAAAAACATCTTAAATTATACACATTAGCCAAATATGAGATCTGTGAAAATATTAAGTGAAGGAAATTTAAATTGTATTTATTTGTGCGTGTGAGTATGCGTGCGTGTGTGTGGGTGAGAGTGTGTGTGAGAGAGTGTGTGTATGTAGGTATGATATTAATCTTCAAAGTAATATATACTAATTGAGAATATGGATAAGAAAGGGGTGGGTATCTATAAGCTTTTGCTTCCCCCTACTCCTTTTCTTGAACAAAAGGTGTATTTTCTCATTTTGTGGTCTACGTCTATGTTGATTTTTAATTTTTTTATTATTTGGTGTCTACATGTTCAAGAAATAAAATGCTTCAAATCAAATCAAATACACAAAATGAAAACAAAGGGACACAAAATAACCTCAAAGAGACAAAAAACAATTACAAGGAGACACATAAGAACCTTGAAGAGACATAAAATGACTACAAATTGACATCAAATAAGAGCCGGAAAGATGACAAATATGGCAAAACAACTTCAAAGAGACGATGAAGGATCTTAAAGAAACACAAAATAACATTAAAGAGACATAAAATTACTATAAAGAGACCCATAACCTCAAAGAGACACAAAATGACTATAAAGGGATGCAAAAAACTGACAGACACAAAATGTGTCCCCACATACATAAAACAAACAAAAAGGATAAATAATGACAGCTCAATTCCATATTACTGTAAATGAAACAACATACTAAATCACCTCAAAGAAACAAGAAGACAAAAAAGATCTCAAAGTGACACAAAAAAACACAGAAAGACACATGTATACAAATATTGTTTGTACTGAAAGAAATCATATTTTGGTGCTGTAGTGAGACTGAGAGAAGAATCAGTAGTAAAGAAGTTATTGTATAGAACTTTAAAGCGGTTACAGCGCCACCGTGTGGTCACAAACCAGAATCAGAAAAACAACACAAGTCCTAATTTTTGGGTGGAACCATGGTTTGGACATTTCGGGGGACCGGGGGGGAGGTGGGGGGACGCTAGTGCATTAACTATGTATTAATGCACGAGATAATTTAATACAAGCTTTCTAAAAACAAACATTTTTCGGTTGCAGGAGTGGACTACCTCCCAAACGTCTTCATTGGATTTGCTGCCGTCGCTGGATTTCTTGTTTTAGTATTTATAGCAATGACGTCCTGCAAAATAATCCAGAAGCAACGCGGGAATAAAGGGTAACGGCTGAATAATGAAGGCTGTTCTTACATGTCATTACTGGTTCTATTTGAATGGATGTACATATTTTATTCAGATGCTAATTGTACATTTTAGTCGCATGTCGATATTCCCACTATTCACACATGTAAAAACAAAAACCGCTGTTTGGCTGAGTTATTATTCTTTTGTGTTTCAGAAGTTCAGAACATCTTCCAGAAAAGGAAAAGACTCTACAGACCTCATTGTGATCATCAGGAGAACAAATGGCGCTAACTGATCTTTAGGGATTATCTTTCATGTTTTAATGCACTCAATTTAAAAAATATATATTATTTGTTGTAAGAAACGTTGAAAACAAATTAACAGAATTCGATCATCAAAATAACTGAACAGTTAATTTGTGTTGTATATATAACATATGTATAATACTGTGTCTGTTTTAGTACATATTGTAATTAAATTTTTTCTTATCCAGTGTCTGAATACTGTGACAACAGTGAAACTAGGTGTGTTTGCAGTGAGAATAAAGCATCGATTATCTGAACACGTGCACGACTCTACTTTCACTCATACATGAATAAAGCGCTTCGATCAGAGGACGGTGGCCGCCGAGGGACACGTTAATGAAACCGCGTTCACATTTGCCCGCCTCTCTTTGAGTAGTCTTCAAGAGCAAGACACTTCCGGTTTCAACTTTCAAAATAACACTGTCCAGGGCAGTGTTATTTCCCAAAGATGCTATGGTGTGGATTCCTGTAATATTATATATATTACTAAGAACGTTAGTTTAATAACGTTTACTTTTAACTATTATATTATGTTAATAACTATTTTTCATGCATGTTATACTGGCATTCACGTCAAGATGATTGAATGAGGCACAAATACCAAAACATTCAAATCAATCTGTGACAGCGGTCTTTCATAAAACAGATAATTTCAGCTCAAAGGCATCATTAATATTTACTTTATACCATATACATACTCACATCAATATTACGATTTAAATAGAAGTTACTTGTCGAAATAGAGAGATGAGAGCGGAGTGTTTCTCAATTTGTATGTTTATAGTTAATAGTATTGAAGCTATTTCTCAAGGTTTATTGTAAAAAATATGCATTAAATAACGGTCTACAATAAGTTAAATACAAGATGTAAATGTATCTTAGTTAATCTACATTTGTTTTTTCTATTTCCAATCCTTCTGTCAAAACTATTTCAAAGAGTCAGAATGACTCTCAAATGATCGATGACACACATTAAACTATCACAACAGAAGAATACCAAGAAAACATACAAAACAACGTCGGAAACACAAATCAACTAAAGACGACAAACAATGAAAAACATACACAAAAATAACTGCAGAAATTCAAAACGACACAAAAAGTGTGATGCCGTAAAGTAACTCTTGGTTGCTTTAATGCAAACGTTGGACAAACAATTAAAAAGCCATCTATCGATTTTTTTTTTCATTATAAAAAAATTGTGTGTAGCTTTACTTTGAAGGCCCCGGGCCGCGGACATCCGGTGCGCGCGGCGCGTGACTGCGGGAGGTGCACGCGCCTCCTCCCGCCGGATAAAGGAGAGCAGGTCGGGCAGGAGGCAGACATGGAGGAGCTGAGTGCCGTCGGAGAGCAGGTCTTTGATGCGGAATGCATCCTGAACAAGCGGCTGAAGAAGGTCAGACCGGGGACCGGGGACCGGGACCGGGGACCGGGGACCGGGACCGGGGGTGGGGGCGGCTTCTTCTTGTTGTTGTTTTCTCCTCTTCTTCTTCGTCTAACGGCCGCTTCCCGACGTCCCTTGTTTTTGTTTTGTTTTCCCTTTCAGGGAAAGTTGGAGTTTCTGGTGAAGTGGAGAGGCTGGTCGTCCAAGTGAGTACAAGAAAACAACAACAACCCCCCCGCCCTCCTCCTTGCCCCCCTCCCACTCTGTTTATTTATCAATAATCCGTCCGATCCACCAAGTCCGCACGACAACAACGACGCGACGTCGTCACGTCGCGTTTTTCTGGAGAACTGTTTTAATTCTTCTCTCTTTTGTTCGTGACGCTCACATTCTGGAAGTTTCCCCACGCGGAGGCGGATCTATTTTAAACCTGTTATTTATACAACATTTGATGCAACAATAGTTGTGTTTTATAACCCCCCCCCCTCCCCCCCGTAAACAAGTTAAACTCCTCCGTCTGATCAACCGGCGGTTTGCGCCGTTGATCGATCCGTTAAATGACGAAGTGGATCGTTGCCTTTCTGCTGCACATTGTTGCTGTAATCCTCCATCAATGCCGCCGCTGCCTGCCAGCTCCTCGCTTTCTGCTGGAACCACATCCTTTGTGTGTGTGCGTGCGCGCGTGCGCGCGGGCGGAGGGCGGTGGGGGTCGGTTCAACCGCCCCGCTGATCAGAATGGGGCCTTTTCAACAAGTGATGAGGAGAAAAGAAGGTCCCTTACAAAAGGCCCGCGGTGGAGGACCAACTAAAACCGACCAGTTCAGCCAACAGCAAGGATCCTAAAAGCACTTTATTTTGAAAGGGGAACCTCCCCTCACCTCTGGGTGTGATTTGTTGTGGTCACTTTCAGATAAGCTGCATACAGCCGATTTTAGTCCTCTTCCTCCTCTGATGCCTTCAAAGGTCTCAGCGAGTCCTTTAGCCACAGAACCACCAGGTGGACGTCGATCACTTACCTGGACGTCTCTCAGGCTTCAGTTTATAAAGCCTCGCTCCATAAAGTCACATAGGAATATTTAATTGTCCGGTTTAAACTGATTTATTTCTGCTTCGCTCTTATTAAATTCAGCCCTTTTATTCCAATACTTCAACGTGGAGGAACAACGTTTTATTTTGAAATCGTTTTTACATTAAAAGGACCACTGGCGGCTGAGAGGAGATTTAATGTGACGCGCTTCTTTCCTTCTCGTGCTTTTTATTGCAGACACAACAGCTGGGAGCCCCAAGAGAACATCCTGGACCCCCGTCTGCTGGCTGCCTTCAACAGGAAGTGAGGATGAGCTTCACACCAATCTTCTCTTAATATTCCATGTTCTTCATGTAATAATCATACTGAACGCAGAACATTTGTAGGAGGAAAGCGTGTGAGAAGAACATTAGTTGATGAATATTACCTCCACTACTAATATTCCACACTTGTTCTTTGTTTGTTTCAAAGAGAGCAAGAGAAGGAGCTTCTGATACTTAAGAAGGGGAAGCGGCCGAGAGGACGGCCGCGGAAAATTCTAGTGAGTCGAACCCGAAGTCACTAAATGAATTCTGAATATAATGAATTCAGACCTCGGTGCTAATGTTGCTTTTTCATTCAGGAAAACGTTCCCGACGCCCAGAGATCAAGCAGCTCATCATCTGGCTCCTCATGGTCCTCAGACTCCTCCTCCTCATGCTCCTCAGACTCCTCCTCATTGGATGATGCCGAGGACGACGAACGCATGGCTCTGGAGCCACCGGGGGTCCGGACCCGAGACCTCCACCCGTCCCCAGAAGAAGGCGCAGATTCTTGTGGCCAAACCAGAGCTCGCCAAAAAGTGGATCAGCCAGCCTCTGTCTCTCGATGCCAGAGAGCTCCAGCAGGGGAGGTGACTCTGCAAGGGGCCCAGAGACGGCGAGCTTCCCGGCGCCATCAAGAAGCCCGTTAACCCGGCGGGCTTCACCTTCATGGGGTTCCACCGGGGCATCCCACGGGACGCGGCGGCCGGTCCGACCAGGGGCTCTCCGGGTCCGGGGGGGTCCGTTAAACACTGTGTGCGGTCGGTGCAGCCCGCCCCCCTTTCCCTGAGCAGGCCCGTCCCGAGCAGGAGCCTCGGCGAGGGCAAGCTGCCCGTCTCCGGCGGGACGGACACGGATCCGAAAGCGTCCGCAGGGAAATCGAAAGGGGTGGCCGCGTTGAATTTAAATACCCCCAAACACCCCGCTCAAGGAACCGCCTATCACTCGCCGAGCCCCCCCACGGGACATAAAAAGCCCCCGCCCCCCGGGGGTAAAGTGGCGGCCGCTTTGCCGCCGAACAACGCGCCTGCCGGTCAATGCCCCGGCCCTCCGCCGCTGAACCTCCAGGGCAGACGGGCGCAGAGCGGGGGCGTGGCCGGGGGCCCGAGGTCTGCCGCCCACCCGGCGAGGCAAACCCCCGTCTTGCAGAACCAGGAGTACAATCCCGCCAAAGGCCCGGCGGCGCCCGGCAGGCTTCAGACCAGGAAGAGCCAGCCGGGGGCCGACAAGGTCAAAGAGGCCACCGGGACCCCGACCCCCCGGGTCCAAGCCCGGCTGGAGCCCAGCGGCGCGCTGACGGAGGTCCCGACCCCGCTGGAGAGGTCGGAGGGCAAGAAGGCCAAGATGAACGACATGAGCACGGGCGAGGACGAGAGCTGCTCCGACTCTGACCAGGACCCCCCCTACGTGGTCGGGGGGGTTCGTGCCGTCGCCTCCCAGAACCTGAACCAGGACTGGAAGCCCACGCGGAGCCTCATAGAACACGTGTTCGTCACGGACGTCACCGCCAACCTGGTCACGGTCACGGTGAAGGAGTCGCCGACCAGCGTGGGCTTCTTCATGCGCCACTACTGATGGGGGGGGGGGGGGGGGCTTTAAAGCAGAACATTGGGGGTCGGTTTTCTCGAGAGATGGGGTTAAATAAACGTGGGGCGGGGAGAATTCTCTGAACAATGAGTTCCGGGGCGGCCGGGGGGCGGGGGGGGGGGGCACAAAATGGCTCCACTCCCTCCAATGTGTGAGGAAAAAAAAAAAAAAAGTTTAGGTTTGAAAAAAAGAAAAAGGACAACGGTCAGTTATTGTGTTTAACTTATTACTCGTGCCTACAAGTTGTTGTAAATGGACGAGGAGGAATCTTCAGGTCCTGGAGATGAAATAACTTATTGATCTGTGTGCTTCCGATCGGAGGGATGTCGCTGTGAGCGTTTCTTCTCGTTTCTCTCGTAGCGTTTGGAGTCAGTACCTCGTTCTGTGTGTCTCCGGCGGCAGCAAACGCCACCGCGCCGTTAACGCGCCTTAGAGGGGAAAAACGTTTCCTTCCACAGTGGTTTCCAGAAGGAGCATTTGGGGGGGTCGGATACACACAAACACCTGGTGCTCGGATAAGACTCAAGGGGCAGAAGGACCCTCACAGGCGTCCTGGATCTTTATCCCACGTCGTTCCTGTTTGGCCACAAAGCACTTGGACTGAACTCTTCATCCTCGACCACACGGACGTTTCCTGAAGAGACGTCAGGGATCTCATGAGAGTAGTGGACGCTTCTTCTTCCTGTCGGTCCAATCACAATGGAGCCTTAAAATGATCTTTTGTTTTTTATAAATGTGTTTCTCTTGTTTTTTAGCTCTACTAACCATCTCAATGAAACTTTCTACTTTACAATCTATTTATTTGAGCTCCAGAGCCTTTCAGGGTAGGACGTGTCAGCAATCCTTGTATTGTGCCAGTTGTCACGTCGACTAATAAATGGTGCAAAAAGCCTTTCGTCCAACTCCTCCTTTGGGTTTTTAAATATGAAATAAGTACAATGAATCCATTTTGTTAACAAGTCACTAGAATAAACGAGCTTTATATGTATGATGTAACTTCATCCTGGTGGACGTTTGTGAGAAATGATCATAACGGAGTTTGAGCCCTTGTGAGGTCACAGTGAACCGTTCTAATCTAATCATGAAGAGTTGATGGAGAGGACATGTGGTGCTTGTGAGAATGGACCCAGAGGAAGATTCTCTGGTTCTTCAGTGTGATGATCTGCTTTTCTCTTAATATGCCTATAAGTGCTGATGTGTGCCGATTAGAAGTTCCCTGTCAGATGCTGGATGTCATGTCTCCTCTGCATGAGTGTGGATCTCCTCCACGAGGTGGACGGGACGGGACAGGACGACCACCAGGTGGCGCTGCTGCTCTGGAAGCCTCTCAATTAGCCACACGCATAGAATCTGTTGGTCCCCACAGAGGACTCGTTCTGAGAGCTGTTCTACCTCCTCAGCTTCCGTTCTGTGTTCCTCACAGCTCACAGGAGGAATGCCCATGTCCTACGTTTCCTGCCCGTCACACACGTTACATTCCTTTTGATTGGAGGGGGGGGGGCTAAGGTGTCGGAGTGCAGAACACGCACTTTGGTCCACCAGTTTTCCCATCATGCGTTTCGCTGCCAGCACCAAACCGCTGGCTTGTATCGATCTTTTAACAGCTGCTTCCTCACTGGTGCAGTGATGCATGACGCGTAACCACGGCGACCAGAAAAGTCGCTGTTTACACACTGAATCACTTTAGGTGTTTTCAACTGTTTGGACTAAAACCGTTTAATTTTATTGGCAGCTCGAGGCCAAAAATGTGTTCAATTTACTGTGTGATGGCATTTAACCGTAGTAGTACTACTACAATATTATTCTGACATAATCTACAAAGGGAGTACTTAGTACCTAGTTTATTTTGATGCCGTTATTTTTGCACATTTCTCTTTTTCTATTTTGAATGCAGGACTTAAACAGCTGCTTTTTAACGTTGACGTTTTAGCCACTGATGCTGAAGCTGTGAACACCGACTCCACTATTTATGCGAATTCAAATATTGGATCTGATGCGTAAAAGCTGAATCAGCAGACCGGGTGCTCAGGAGAATGATGAGGAAAGTACTCAGCTGAAGTGTGAAAACTCTCACTAGACCTTAAGTACACTACTCGAGTGTGTCTATAATCAGCTGCAATGCATTCTGGGTCTCCAAGTCATAAAAGTGGAGGGAAAGTGGTGCAAGAAGCTCATTTCACAGCATTGTTATTGTTCCTCTGCAGAGACCAAATGAAGGAGGGAGTCTGCAGCGCCCCAAAGCCCCTCCCCCCCCCGGTATTTACACACTCCTAAAACCACTGTCAGCCCACCCACGGAGTGACAGAAGTTATCTTTACACAAGGCGCACGATCCCATAATTTATAAAGATCCCCGTCCACCGGTCGCGAGGAAATCTCCCAAAATAAATTCAAGTAAACACTTAGGCGACAAAGAGGCACTCACAGTGGGCTGGTATGCATAAACACTGTGAACAGTGTGACAGTGTAATCCCCCCCCCCCAACACACACAGACCCAACAACCCAGCCCTCACTTCAGGCTGGGGTGTTTGGAAACAAGCCCAACTCTCCCCTGACTCCTGGCCAAATGAGCCAGACTCCAAACCATCTTCCATCTTATTACCCCCCCCCCCGCAGCCCCCCTAAACCACGTTGTCTCCACGATGCTTTTTCTTTTGCTCGTTCCAGAAAAACACGTGATGCCTTAAATTGGCTTTTTCCCATGATGCATCGTTGGAAGGTAAAGCAGCGGACACAAGCGGTTGCAGGGAAAAGTGTTTTCAAGCATTTCTTCATGTGCAGGTCAACAACAACAGAATGCAGAAAATATGATCACAAAAGAGGCATTTTACTCAGATCAGTGCACAGCGGCGCTGTGTAATTCCAGTTTTTTATTGGGCCGCCTCCAGGCCCGATGCAGACTAATATGGGTGTTTCAAGGCCAATACTGCTATTGATTTTCCATCCGCTCGGTTTGTATTTGTGTTTGGAAGAACCCAAACAGGGTTTGCTGCTTGAGTTTTATAATAAAGAAAAGACAAAAAGCTGGAGACGGTTTGCTGCTCGATTTCAAAGGGAATGTTTAGAAACCCGATCCGGCCCTCCAGCGAGCATACCTCCTCCGCCCGCGGCTCCCTCGCCCCTCGTTCTAAATCACTCCGCCGGAGCCGTGTAAACAAACTTCAGTTTGCTCTCTGATATTGAGAGGTTAAGACAAGCGGCAATCCTCCACTATGACAACACGGCCTCAGACAGACGATGTCATCCGTCTTACCTCACTCTCCATCCATCACTACGCCGGAGTCGACATGTCTGACAGTCCCCGCTCTCGCTTTTTCTCGCTGGCACGGGGGCCTCTGCACATCTGTCACATTTTCCTCCTTTTTTTTTTTTTTTTTTTACTACGCCAGATGAACTCCGCCTTCTTCCCCTTGTGGATTAACGGACACCTGAAGGGCGAGAGAGAGAGAGAGAGAGAGAGAGAGAAAAGCTATTGATTAGTCGAGGAGCTGATGTCGTCCTGGCTCCACAAACACTTCTTCAGTTGCCACTTAGCTACCTGCAGAAACAATAGATATATATCATTATTATTATTATTCATATGTAGGGTTTCGTAGGTCTGTTCGTTCTGTTGGATACAATCTGTTCCATGAACATTTTACATTCACGATGTTTAATTGTCATATCTGAGCTTGAAAAAGCAGAAAAGAATCGATTAAAAAAATAAGAAATAAATTAACAATAAATAAATAAATAATAAGTAATAATAATAATAGAATAAATAATTGATTGAAAAGGTTGTTTGGGTTTGAAATATAAAGTTCAATGAGGATGCTTTTTGAAAAAAGATAAGCTGGTTTAAGGTGATTAAAAAAGTCTTAAGCCTTATGGTGATGGCGAGCAGGACGAGTTATATATAACATGCTCACAACTTTAAAACAACAGTGTACAGTTTGACTTCCTCCAGGTCTCGTCAGCTGTTCCCTCAGTACTGAAAAATAAAATAACACAATCAAGTTTCAGATTTCTATACAAAAAAGAAATGTCATAAAACCAAAAAGTAGCAGCTTATGTAAAAGTCAAGCGGGTGACATCATCGTCCAGAGATGAAATAAAGAAACTAAAAAGGACCCTAAACCTGAGCCTTGAGGCACACCGAACAACGCGTCACAGCTGCACGCAGAGTGTAGGGCTAAACATTATACAATGAAACTCCCGTGGGCCCAGTCTCCACTAATTAGCATTATGCTACAGAGTGCTAACAGGCCAAACTAAAACTGATTTAGCATGCCGGCGGTTAGCATTTTTCTCCAATCACCACCTTTCACTGACGTTTTTTTGTGGTCACAAAAGAAACGAAAAGCGGTTTCTGCCTCGGGACCCCTGGGGGAGGAACCTCCCTCCGGCGGGGAGCGGGGGGGGTAACAAGGTCAAACTGAATCCAGCAGACTGATCTCTGCATAAAACTCGGCTCCTTCACTCCTTCACTGCTGGTGAAGGGGTGAAGGTGGCCAACCCACATGAAGCCAACGGCAGTAGCGACCGAACGGAGGCCGGCGGTGGGCGCCGTGCGACGGGACAACCCTCCCGTCGGTGAATTTCACAGGTCATTACTCCGGCTCCAGCCTCCAGCGGCTCTGGAGACGGCCCGGCTCCTCCCCCTCAGAGGCGACAGCTCGCCGGGCTTTGTGCGGCCTAAACAAGCGCGTCTGTCTCACAGCGGTAGATCGATGTCGAGATAGAAGGGTCCTCCTCCTGGAGGAGACCCATCCTTCAACCCTCCGGAGGCCATTACACAGCAACAAAACGAGTCCAAGAGAGAGAGACACCGACCCCCCCCCCAGCCCCCCCGGTCCTATGGGGCCACAGAGAGAGATAGAAAGAGGATTTTGACTTAAGGCGTAACAAAGAGAGGAGGGAGGAAAATCAACAACATTTTCTGTATAAGAGCGCAAAAGATGAAAATCAGCCGCTGCTGGATGTTAACGAGAGACGGCAAAAAAGGCTCAAAGTGAG